ACTTGCAGTCACACTGGGATCATTTATGATTGTAAGAGACACAGACAGTTCTTACTGCAAGGACATGTAAGAGAGAGAGAGAGAGAGAGAGAGAGAGAGAGAGAGAGCCATTTTTATAAAAAATAATAATGCATACATTGTTATCAACAATAAGACTTTTTGCTAATTGTGATATGATACTTTTACTGTTCTGCAACTAAATGATTATGTTGTAGATGTGCCTGTACCTGTATAATGTACATAATACTTGCTTCACTATTGCTTCACTACAGGGTCACCCAATAACCTGTACTGCTGTGAGTGGTGATAGGAGGTGGCTGGCCACTGCTGATGTAGGAGCAGACCCACTCATCATCATTTGGGACTCATACTCTGGGTATTATTACTTTTACATGTGTTTTACATGTATATGCATTTTTATTTTATTTTATTTTTATTTTTTATTCTATTTTTTATTTTATTTTTATTTATTTTATTTTAATTTTAATTTTCTAATTTATATTTCTCCCATGTGCATGTACTTATACTGTATCAATTTTCTCTAGTATACCAGTTCGGACATTTTACAATAATTTGGGTCAAGGCATTGTGGGTGTGGCCATGTCACAGGATGCCCGTTACCTAGCAACCATTGGGTGTCAGGTCCCTCAGGTCGTCAGTGTCTGGGACTGGACCAACGAGAGAGAGACTCCGGTGCAATCGGTCGCACTCAACCCGGACTACGGTATACAGGTATGGAACGGGAAGGAATGAGTATCAAAGTTTGAAATTGAAAGTATGGGTATGAAAACTAGAGGATTTAATTACATGTATTTTCGTTGTTTTATACATGTACATGTTTTTTCATTATAGACGTACATCACGTTTAGTCATAATGACTCATCACTCCTAGCATCAAACAGTGACGATCAAGTCATCTTTTATAAATGGGTAAGCAATTAATTAATTAATTAACCATCAAACCACACCCACTAATTAATCAATCCATACACATTTACATGTATGTACATTATTTATAAGTACATGTATTTTAGACTGCCAAAGGTCTTTCTGTATGCACTACTCCGGTCAGCGACAGGGATTTCAATAAGTCCGTGGGTCTTTTATCACAAACTGTGTTCCTACCTGATGGGTCCAACCATTGGGCTCTGACCGGTACCTCCGAAGGATGTGCTGTTGTGTGGGAAACTAGCGGACTATACCACAATCGTTAGTATATACATATACATTTACATGTACATATATGTACATGTAAATGTAGTTGTATTATATGTACATGTACTTTCAGAGATGTACGTATAGGAATTATTATTAAGAGTTTTATGGAGTTAAGTTTATTTTGTGAATTTCTGCAACTAAATTTTGCACAAGTTACCAAATGAAAATGAAGTGTCTT